AGGGAGGGAGGGAGGGAGGAAGGAAGGAAGGAAGGAAGGAAGGAAGGAAGGAAGGAAGGAAGGAAGGAAGGAAGGAAGGAAGGAAGGAAGGAAAGAAAGAGGGGGCATACCTCCAGTATCTGTGATGGATTTCCAGAGAGGACTGACTAAAAGGGGTGAAGACCACCCCACAGACTGGGAGCCCAGATGGAATTTAGGAGCAGAAGGGAGGGAGCCCATACAGGACAAGATTTCCACTTCCTCTGCACCCAGGCCTAAGTTGATCTGCTCTATGCTGCCATACTTCGCCTACCCTGATAGACTGAGCCCTTCCCAGGAACCAAAATCAATCCTTCCTTCTTTTAAGTTGTCTTGTTGGGTATTTCATCATCGAATGTGAACAGTAGCCTATACAACACTCTTAAAGCCTTGCAAAGGCCCTGGCCCCATAGTAAATAATTCTGCTGACTCACTGACAAAAACTGTTATTTTTGCAACTTAAGAAAATATGATCTCTTGTGCATCTTCTAGAACTAACATCTACGATCATGCATCTTCCATCGAGGGTCAACATCATTTCACCTAGAACTATCAGGCAAAGTGCGTTTATTCCTTCCCTGTCCGCAAGCTCACATAACAGGCACTCAGTAATGTGGACATCACTCCACACAGCCCCACGCCAATGCCACCTCCAGTCTTAGTCTTTTTTTTTTTTAGAAAGCACAGGGATGAGTGTACATTATCATCTCTTAGAGCAAATGGCACTCAGCTTGACCAAGTTTAATGTCCATATAAACATCAGAAATGCTACAAATTGAGGCATATAGGAGGAAGCCGCTCTTGTCTCTCCTTCAGGCTCTGTCTGCCATCTGAATCCTCCAGCCCCACTGCCAAGCTCCGTCAGACCACTTTCTTTCTAGAAAGCTCATTCCCGGCGAAATACTTGAATCAGAACTAATTACAGCAGTAACTGAAATGGTCCCGGGGATGCGCGCACTGCACAACAAGGGTACTTTTCCCGGATCACTTAGCCGTGCTGTGCCGGGTCTGTTAATGTGCTCTGCCCGGCTTCACTGCAGACATGCTTCAGCAAATGTAAGTCTGCAGTTAAAGTAATAGAGGGCCAAAGGAGCCCGGAGAAATGAAGAGTCAAATTCATCTCCTTGGAAATATGTTTGAAAACAATCCCACTAATGGGAATAAGGGATCGAAGAGGTTCATTTCGGGGAGGATGGCAAAGCTCAAGCCGGGTCAGTTTTGCGGTTTGTCCTCACTCACTCATTGGCTTTCTGCTGCCTCCATCTTACCTCAGTATTCCCAGGGAACCAGAAGCAGCTCAGAGCAAAATGGTGTGCTGGGGGCTGTGACATGCAAGCTCCCTTGGCACACAGCACCCAATGGAGCGGGATGACGGACAAGGCTTGACTTCTTTTTAACCCCATGGTAAACACAGGGCTCTTACTCTCCGGGGAGAAAATGAAATGGAAAAAAAAAAAAAAAAAAAAGGAGAAGAGGGAGGAGGAGGAGCAGAAGCAGAAGAAGGAGAAAAATTCGCCCAGTAAGGTACTGTCAAAGTCTAAAAGTCATCAGCTTCCAGCTAATTGCAATATATAATATATATCATTAAAGAAGAAAACAAAAGGCTAAGCACAGCGTCTGAAGACAGGTGTGCAGCATGGCAGTCAATACTACTTTGGACCACAAATCAGAACAGCGCTGCATGTATATAGTGGTGGTGGGGGCGGCGGCGGCGGCGGCGGCGGCGGCGCACGCCTTTAATCCCAGCACTCAGGAGGCAGAGCCAGGCGGATCTCTGTGAGTTCGAGGCCAGCCTGGTCTACAGAGCAAGTTCCAGGACAGCCTGGGCTACACAGAGAAACCCTGTGGGGGGGGTGGGGGGAAGAACTCCAAATTCAGGATAAGATTTACCACTGAAAGGGAATTTAGAAATGTAGTAGTTTTAAACCCATCTTGCTGTCAGATGCAGGTGGAAAACTTTTAGGGGATGGGGTAAACGCAGGTAGAACTAAAAACCCCCAGTGCTGGAACCTGGAAATTCAAATTTCAAAATACTCAAGACCTTATGAGGATCAGTTAGGCTTAGGAACCACCATTCTGTTTACCCTCTGTTACAGTAACCATAGATCATGCATAAATTCCTACTGTGGGGCTGGAGAGCTGGCTCAGCAGTTAAGAGCAATTATTGCTCTTGCAGAGGACCTGCATTCAGTCCCCAGTAACTGCATGGCAGCCCACATCTGTAGACAGCAGGCATGCACACAGTACATGCAGGCAAAACCCCCATACACACAACATAAAATAACTCCAAAAAAAATGTTCTACTGTGGACAGACACAACGTATACAGTCCCTGTCCCATAGAGCTACCCTTAAACTATCGCTGGAGGTAGGTGTCTTAGTTACTTTTTCATTGCTGTGACGAAAGACTACGACCAAGGCAACTTATTAAAGAAAATGTTTTATTTGGGGCTCACAGTTCCAGAGGGTCAGGGTCCAAGACCATGGTGGGGGGGCACAGCAGCAGCCAGGCAAGCATGACTCTGGAGTAGAAGCTGAGAGCTTACATCCTGATCCACAAAACAGGAAGCAAAAAGAGAACACTAAGAAAGGCCTGGGTCCTTTAAAACCTCAGTGGTACATTTCTCCAACAAGGCCATACTTCCTAATCCTTCCCAGACAGTTACACCAGTTGGGGGCCAAGTATTCAAATAGATGAGACTACTGAAGCCACTCACATTCAAACCATCATAGTAGAGAACTTATGACAAGCTCCTGTCTCTAGATGCTTAGTATATTATATTATATTATATTATATTATATTATATTATATTATATTATATTATATTATATTATATACTATATTATACTATACTATATATATTATATATTATATATTATATTATATATATTATATATATTATATATATTATATTATATTATATTAGTATACTTGTATATTTTATATATTATTTTATATTATCATCCAGTACAGCCTTGGTGGACATCATTAAGAGCCCAAGTATTGCTGCAGAAAATCCTTCCTACTGTTCGCAGGATGTCCCTTGGGATCTTTGCAGCTTGAACCACACCCTCCTCAGGCCGGCAACACAGCAAAGCAACATGGCAAACTCCATGCTGAGCAAGGAGAACCTCAGTCTGTCAGATGATACATGCACGAATGTCTACACACATATGCACGCCTGGCACCCACAAAGGCCAGAAGAGGGCATCAGGTCCCCTGGGACTCTAGTTACAGATGGTTATGAACAACTATGTGGGTGCTGGGAACTGAACCCGGGTCCTCTGGGAGAGCAGCCAGTGCTCTCAACCTCTGAGCCATCTCTCCAGCCCCGACAATTTAGATCTTAGTTAGCTTTGGTTTTCACTATAGGAAATGGATGGTTATAATGAACCTTGTTGCATGAATCTTAAAAGTTCTTATTAATAAAATCAAACCCGAGGCGAGTTATTGGGGTCCATGCTGGTAGATCAGAGAGACAGAACAAGCCACAGCTATCTCACCTCGCCGGATCCTCAGCTGGTCTTGTCTCCTCAG